TTACTATTTTAATCCCCATCTTCTTAGAAAACTTCTTCTTTTTCCTTCCGTTCATTGATTTCCCAAATAAGATATGAGATTTATTTTTATTCACCTTCTAACTTGTCCAACCACAAAAATTAGCCATAATTCTCTTCATAGGAACCGCTGATTTAGTAGAAGCAATTGAAAACAAAAGCACATCATCTGCATATAACAAGTGATAATTCTCAAATTTTGGAGCAAGCTTATACCCCGATATGTTCCTCTTTGATGAATACAATTAGATAATAATTGAGAACACATTACATACAAATAAGGAGACAAAGGACACCCTTTTCTAAATCCACTTTAGCTTCAATTCAATTTGAATTTCTACCATTAACAAGAATAGAGAATCTTACATTTCGAACACATTCCATAATGAGATTTGAAAACTTGGTAGAACATCCAAACCATCTTAAAGTTTTAGCTAAAGTTGGCCAACCCATACTATCATAAGCCAGCTCCATATCAATCTTAACTATCATAAGACCTTTTTTTGAATTGGAAAATATGAACTTATTGAAAATTTCTTGAGCCAAATGACAATGATCCAACATTGATCTTCCTGGAACAAATGCTACTTGATATTCAGTGATAATCTTTGATAGACAACATTTTAATTGGTTCAAAATCATTCTTGCAACCATTTTGTAAATTGTTTGACAAAGGCTAATAGGTCTAAAGTGTGAACGTCCCACCAAATTCTTATTCTTATGAATTAATACAATTAAAGTATCCTTCCACTCATCATGCATCTTTCGATTTTAAAAAAACCAATCCATCGCAATCCAAACATTCTCTTTAATAGTGTCCTAATAGAATTTTAGAAATGAGGATGTAATGCCATCTTGGCCGGGTGACTTATTATTTCCCCATTGATATACAACTTCACCCAATTCTTCTCTAGTAAAATCAACATTCAACATATTGAAATCCAAGACATCAATTTTTTATCTATTATAAACTTCAGGCCAACCAGAGAGCTTATAGGTTCTATTTTTCCATTTGTGATTGAAGAACTTGAAAAAGACATCTTATATTTTATCTTAATCTTCTAACAAACAATCAGAATCATCTTTATTTGTTTGATCCAATTCCCATTTCTTTTTGCGAAGCATAATCATGATAGAATTTAGAGTTCGAGCCCTCTTCCATCCATCTTGCTTTTGCTCTTTGGTTGCACCATATAGATAATCGGGCCAACGTAACATTCCATTCCTGAACTTTAATTTTGAGAAGCTTTAGATTATGCTGATCTAGTCCACCTTATGAGATTTTTTTTAATTGCAATTCCAATATTTCCTTCTTCAAATCCTCTTTGAGTGAAGACTATTCCTTCACTTTGTTTTTGTTCCAATAATACAAGGATTAAAACGTTCTTTTCATCTTCTTTTGCAGAATTTCAGCTTCATTCTCAAAGTCTAATTTTTTCCAAGATCTGAGTATAATATTCCAAGTAGCTGGATAAGACTTCCATGTATCTTTAAATCTAATGAATTTATGATGTGGTTGAGGAGTTTCATTAATCTTGAAAATAATTGGAGTATGATCCGATGCAACTCTAGCAAGATGTCTCACCATAGCAAAAGGTACACATTATAAAGCTGCTAAATTTAAAAGACATCTATCCAACCTTTTCAAAATCCTTAAAGTTCCTTCCTTATTATTGCACCATGTAAGCTTAGTTCCAATAATACATACTTCATGAAAATCATTGTTAGCCATAAAAGATATCATCTCTTAAAGACCTTGAGGAAAAATGAACCTTTTGCCCCCTCTTTTATCCTATTTGGAAAGAATACAATTGAAATCCGAGGCACTATAGAAGGAACATCATTAGAAGACAACTTCTCAAGACTATCCCATATCCTTCTTCTAATATGCATATCTTTGTTCCCATAAACCGTAACAACATTCCAACTACCCTTATTAGGAATTTGGAAACTCCCAAAAACAAACTGAGAAGACTCATCAATAATAGAAAATTGAACCTCCAACCTATTCTATAAGACAAGAATCCCACCAGCAGTACCTTTAACTGGATGGTGATAAAAGTCTCAATCCTCACCAATAATCCTATTAATCTCCCTCATATCAATGTAAGATAACTTGGTTTTGAATAACCGAATGAAAAAAAAAAAATTATCCCTAACAATATCTCTAAGATAAAGAGAAGCTTCTCCTTTTTTGGCTCCTCTACAACTCCAAAATAAAAAAGAATACATTAAGACACTAATGAGGAAAGGTCCCCAACACCCTGCTTACTACCCAATTCTCCTTTTCTCTTTCTAGGAACATCTTCTATAGGTCCTAATGATTTAAGTTCTTTAATGCATTTTTTCAACACTTAAAGAACTTACACCATTGTTAACAAGAAGAATAGAGCTTTTAGATTATTTTACAATAGAATCATTATAAGAGATAGAATCTAAATAACTTCCATTAATTATTTCAACTTTTTTTTTTATGATACACAATCCCCACTTTTCACAATAGTATTAGCTTCATGAGTATTATCTGAATAACCAAAAAATCCAGACTTCTCAACAATTTTAACACCATCAACAGTAGAATTATTTACTATAGAATTAGTATAAATTGGAGCTGAATAAATTCCAAGGGAATTTGGCTCAACACAATCTTTATTACAAACTGCAACAACCGTATGAACTTCATTAATTTGTTCAAGCATAATAGAATGATTACAATTAGGAGAACTTTTAGCAACAACATTCAGAATAGAATGGCTTAGCTCATATCATCTTGTTGAGCAATCTCTTCATTAAAATAAGTTAAAACACTGAATTTGTTAGATTTTAATATATGTAGCCATGAATCATCTTCAGAGGTAGACTTTGCATTTATCTCACATTCAACATTCTTACTAGTGCCCACCAAATGAATATGCTAGCCTATGATCTTATTCTCACGAAAATTTTATTTAGCAACAAAACTCACAACAACTTTTTCTTTATAAGCAACCCGAGAATCAAAATTAGGAGCATATTTATTCATTTCATTCTTGAAAAACGCTTGAATTTTAAATGGGTTCCTCTATTTTTTTGAAACTTGACATGGATCAAAGGCCCTTACTCACAATCATCATGTAAAACTTTAGTAGGGACTTTACTAATAATCTCTTCAGGAATTCCATATTCTGGAATAGAGTCATTGTTAATATTATTACTCTTATTATTTGGGGTACTACCTTTGGTACACAAATTAAGCTTGTGACAAATCTTTCCACATTTGAAACAAAAAGAAGCAATTTTTTCATATTCAATTTTTTGGTAAAACCTTTCACACATTCCTTCCACCCAAATACCTCCCTGCATTTTAGACTTTAAATTAATTCACACACAAATTCTAGCAAACTCCCTCCTCCCCAATTTGAACATGTTTCCATCAAGTAACATATAAGTCCCAACCTTTGAAGCAATTTTCATAATGTTAAGTTCATCCCAACATTGCAAAGGAAGATGAGAAAGACAAATCCAAACTGGTGATGATAAGCCTTTCATAGATAAATAGTCCATTTGTCAATTCCTATAATATATCCCCCCACATACCAAGGACCTCCACTCAAAACTTCAACCATAGCTTTTATTAGACTGGAAAGAACACCAAATCCAATCTAATCCCAATGATGTTAAATGAAAACCTCCAAAATTGCTCCTTTTTCGCCTTAACTCCATGCTACAATATGAAAAAGGAATATTCTTGCCTAACACTTTCACCACCAATGAGTTTTTCAGAATTTGAGCATCAGCAATTTCATTCTTAGAATTAAGTTTAATAGCAATTCCATCATCAGAGATTTCAGTAGAAACATAATTATTACTAATTCTAATATGAAGAGTTTTTTTCCAAGAATTAACAATTCTCATTATGAATCGAATTTATCAATACTAGCAATAATCGTAATATGATTATTATCACAATGCAACCCATGTTCAGAAGCAACATTTACCTCATTCTAAATTTTTCCCGAAGATGAATTATCACACTTGAACGATAAGTTTCCAATCACGAGAAAATCAACATTTGAAGAATTACTATTCATTAATATGCTAACTTATAGGTTCAAGCCTGATGAAGATACTTCAAAACCATTCGCCTATGATCCATGAAAGTTGCTACTCAAGTTAATCATAGGATTAACATTCAAAATCTTTGATTCTTCTATGATATTCTTTCCTTTTCCTTCAACTAGAGCAATTTGAGTAGCCGGCCGAAACCCTTCTTTAATAACTAGAGGTGGACTTTTGATGTCAATTGTCCTAATCCTTTCATCAGGTAATGAAATATTATTCTTGAAATCATAATTTCCGATGGAAGAATAGTGGAAGAAATGACAATTGGCGAACGCCAACGGCCATCCTTCACCATACTGGACCTCCCACAAGATAACAGGTCAAAGAAAATTTGAAATTTCTCTTTCACGAAAATTTGGTATTAAGCTCTCTAGAAAACTTGTTCTGTCGTTATCACTGAAGTTGAAAAATCATCATATCATCATTTTGATTTATTTTGCACTTATAATTTTATATAAAAGTGAAGATATCATCCACCTCCCACCACCCAAATCTTCACATCCGCTTCTCTCCATGCCCAAACCGTGCGCAAACCCAAGCTAATCCAACCAATACCAACCCAAGTACAAAAAACCTTAAGCTCTGATAAAGTCCATCCCTTTGAATTTTGTTTATTTCACTCATTAGTTTTGAAAACAATGTTATTTTTTCTTATATTTGAGATATTTGAATAGTTAGAATAAAATAAGGCAAAATAAAGACAAATACCTCTTTTAGAGATATCTATATAATATGAAAGTTGGGACATGGCATATTATCGTAATAATTTTCAATATTAGCGACATAATAGGGCAATATTTTTACTTAATTGTTATTATAATAAAACAAACACATGCCTAACATATCATATAATAATAATAATAATAATAATAACAACTTGAATCTTTAATAATAAGGAATTATTAATTCTTAATAGATATCAAAAATCTAAATCAGTCTGGCTGACAAAGATAAAACGCAATGCAAACACATCCGCAAAACGAGTCAAGTCCATCATCTTATCTCTTGGAAAAACTATAATGGTATCGATTTCAGATGTTAAAGCTACGATGAATAGCTCTAGAATATTATAAGAAAAATAACAGCTAAAACATAGTTTTATAGCTTAACAAAAAAAAAAAAAAAAAGCCTGTCTGAATTCAATGATGATGCTCGACACTGCGTATGTTGTTGATTACGACAAGTCTTTGATTGCTCCCAGCTTCTCAAGAATTATTTTTTCCTGTTTTTCGTCTGAAAGCAAGTCAAGAAATTATAAGGTTTGAAACAAATTCTGAATGAAAAAGCAAATTCTTATCTTGAAGGGTAGTTACATTGCATACAGTTAGGATCCATTTAGAGCGGCTATACCTATCTATAAAAATAACTACAGAATTGCTATTAGAAAACCACCTCTTGAAAGCTGTTGAAAGCATTATAGAAATTATTTTCTCTAAAAGTCGGTGGCTTTCTTACCGTTAACTAAGGGTCTATTTGTGATATCTTTCTAGCTGCTTTATTTTTCAGCCAACAATTATAATTTCATTTATCTATTACTTTCTCACTATTTTACATAATTTTTTGTGGTGAAAAGCTAATTTTTGTAATTAGAGTAAGGGTGTGTATTTGACGGCTATAGTTTAAAAAGTTGATTATGAAGATGTTATAAGGAAAAACAATTTAGCTATTATGGTTGTAAAAACAAGCTTTGCACCACAAAATTTTTTGAAAAAATAATAAGAAAATAAAAAAAAAGCTTGTAGTACATAATATTTTTTATTAATTTAATGCGAGATAAAATGATAGTCAGCAAGGATACATTCTTGATCTGGGTTCTCAGTGAAGTTCGAATGGAGAGCATCCCCAATACTATCAACAATTGCTGATGTTGTCATAGATGATTCGATGCATAGGATGGCAGCAATAGCATCAAGTCGGGTGACCTCATTTCTGAACATAAGCCTAGCATGTGCTGCACTTCGGTCGAGTCCAATCAGGATATACGACATATAGAAGAAATTTGGGTCAGATATTTTAGCCAAAAAATTGAACAGAATGGATCTCATATCTTTTGGATTTATATTGTGATGAGCATAATACTTTGCATTCATCTCAAATTCAATCCAGTGATTTGAAGAATGAGTCATTCTGATCAAAATTTAATTAGATATCATAAACTTTTTTTTTTTTCGGAACATACAGAGGGATGTGTTGGAACTTGTTGCATAAAAATAACGAAAACAAACCTTGGGCCAACCGTATTAAACTCTCAAGCAAGCGGACAGTAGTTCTAGCTGCACAAAAGGTGGTTAGGAAACTGCCAAGGCAATCCCTAATAACTGAGCTTAATCTAATGAAAGATAAAATTGCTCGTAACACTGCCACTTCAGACCTGCATTATGTGTTGCTGATCTTCGCTGGAGTTGATAGTAACTAGAAATTATTCTTTCTGACTCTTTGGTCAGGACAGGTTTGAAACGCTGCTTAACATAGTGGATATACCTACAAAACACAGTTGTTAAGTAAACAATTATTCTCCTAAACTTGGTAATTCTTCTTTAATATATGCTTCAATATGTTGTGTAAAGTGCCGTATTTAAAAATAGCATATGTAAATGTCATTTCAAGAAGTTATTACAAGCAATATGCACTATCTATGCGTGAATATTAAAAAAATTATACAAATGCTTCATTAAAAAAAAAAAGATTAAATATTATAAAATTATAGAATTCTAAATATATGTCATATGCCTTTCATATCATCATCCTTAATTCTCATCACCTTCAATCTCACAATTTTTGACAAATAATAGGAAATCTTGCCGATTGTAACACTCAGCGGAACTAGTTTAGTTGAAAGCAGCAAAGCGCATGCATGCGCGCGAACACGACTTTTGGGGCGGAATCGAATGCAACTCATTGCATGAGTAAAATGGGGTTTGCTCATTTAGGAAGAATCAAAAGCAGGTGAGTGGAAGAGAGAAGTTTCAGGCCAACATGTGGGTTCAACCGATGAAGGCATAGACACGTGTGATCCAAGGGCTATACTATTGGATTGAAGACGAAAGAGAGGAGAAGAGCTTATGTGGTCCTGCCTATCAGGAGGGAAGAATTGTTCTTTTTTTTTTTTTCCGTTTGAGTTTGACTTTGGCTTCGAGCGATTTGGAGAAATTGAAAGCGGACGAGGTGTGCAATAATATGAAACTCAATATTGTTTGATGAAGACGAAGGGTTTGTGGGCATTGATCAATAGAGAAGAAGAGTTTCATGTGAGACAACTTTGATTTTGGGACAAAACTGTTTGATGGCTTTGAATTGGTACGATTCATTTGATCAATTTGACAGAGACAAAAAAGGAGTACGTTCGATTGTTTTACAAAAATTAGAAAAAAAAAAGAAAATAGGAAAAGTAGTGTCATTCAATCTAGTTTGATAGAATCAAAGGCATGGAGGAAGAGATAGAGATACAATAAGAATATATATTGATCTATGCGATCTCGACTTTATGAGGGAGAAAAATTGGTGTTATGTGCTAGGAAATTCCAGTTGGTAGAATGTGTTTTAAGTCTCAACGTTGTAAAAAAATTTAATACACATATAAAAGTAGTAAGACCATAATTTTTTTATATGGAAAACCCAAAAAGAGTAAAAACTCACAAAGCCTAGCCTAGTTGAAAAATTCACTATATGATAGGTGAAATAATAATCATCATTTCCTCACTTGAATAAGATAGGATTACCATAATTTTTTTATATGGAAAACCCAAAAAGAGTAAAAGCCCACGAAGCCTAGCCTAGTTAAAAAATTCACTATATAATAGGTGAAATAATAATCATCATTTCCTCACTTGAATAAGATAGGATTATTTGAAAACAAATATTTAATTTTCCATGTGGGGCTAATAGAAATCAAATGTCCACAGATGAACAATTAACACCTAACAATAGTACTTAATTTCCTCTATAAGGATTACAAAAGTTTTATGTCTACAGGCAAATAGTTAATACCCAACAATAGGGTTAAATCTTGACAGGAGTCTCGAGATGGCGACAAATGCTAGTGGTGTTTATCGACGACAATATTATGTGGCGGTCGTTGATGGTGATAGCTGGTGGCCGTCGTCGACGGTGATAGGTAGAAAATGCTATAAAGCTCTTTAATGCTCTTAGCTCTTGGGTTCTGTTATGCACCAATACATTAATTTGGATAAAAATACAATACAAAAAGAAGGAGAAAATGGGATCCCTAAATCAGAAGAACAAGCTCAAGGCAACAGTTCAAAGTTTATAGTATAGACCCGGTCTAGAAAACAGTTTAAGGACTAAACTAACTCATGATTTTATTAGAAATAAACCTATAACATTGTAATTAGCTTTGTAAACTAGTTTATTATTATTTTAGATAGTTGACCCTCTTTCTTATCACTTGTACAAGCCAATAAATAAACCTCTTTGTTGTAATTAAAGTTATGGAAATGAAATACTATTTTTTCTCACCCTCTTCTTTTTCTAACGGAATTTCAAATTTTCTGTAAAATATTTATTCTTAATTTTAAAAATTATTCATTTTATTAAATAAAATTAATTAAACTAAAAATTATTGTTTTAAATAATTATTATTATCTTAAATAGACTAAATAATATAAACATAATATGATATAAACATGGCATAATATAAACATAATATGAAATATATATAATATAGATTAAGTATAATTTAAATAAAAAAAGCAACAAGCAAAACGTAATTTACATAGCAGCTCAGGTGGTTGGGTAGGTGGGTGGGTTCAAAGTGGCCGAGGTTCGAACCTAGCGCAGCATATGCGGGTGGGTTAGCGGGCGAGCCTAGTTCAAGGCCTGCGGGTTCGCAGGCGGGCCTGGTTCACAGGCCTGCGGGTGGATTCACGGGCATGGTCAGTTTGTGGTGGGCCCAATTCACGAGCCTGCAAAGATGGCAGCTTAGTATCCGCGACTAGTTCACGGGTCCAGATCATGGGCCGACGATGATGGCAGCTGGCCCGCTTGGGCTAAAACAAATTTTTATATTTTGTTTTCTTGGCCAATTTCATTGAAAAATTTGTCGGAAATATTTCCAGCAGATTTCTTTCAACAGTGTTTGTTTTTCGACGCGTGAATTACAATCATATAATTTTAAGTCGGAAATCCGTCAGAAATGTAAAATACCGATGGATTTTATTCTTTTTTTGGCAGAAATGACCTGCCGAAAAATGACATTTTTCCCGTAGTGTTCCAATCCACTGTCCAGCCCTCAACCGTAGGAGTGCATTAGCCATAAGAAAACCTTCCAACCTTCTATCTTGCATACTGCTCATTGATTGGGTTCATTCCTCCCGTCACCTTCAAGCACTGAACATCCCAAGACAATCTGCTAGTCTGTTTTGTTGCAAGAAGCTTTGGTTTGGCTAACTAGTGGTGATCTTTTTGTCTCGCAAGAACCATTCAAGCCCCTCCTCCAGCACCATAGCATTCTAACACTCCATTGAATCACAATCCTTTAACCAAGTTTTCCATTCTTGGTTTTTCTCTCACCTCCCATCAAGAACTGGCTTATTTCAAGAAGCAAACCTTTAATTCTACTGCCTACATATCTTAATCCTTCATTCAAGATGAAGAACGCAGACTTGGACGAAGCATTACGTACTATGCAATCTACTCATGAGTCACAATTTTCGAAAATTAAAAAATTGCTAAAACAGGTAGATGCTCAATTTGCTTCCATCGGAACAGCATTACACCAATTTCAAGCATTCATGAACTTTATTGACAAGCATCTTGACAATTTATGTTTGAATCGTCCACCTTCTTCCCATCAAGAACCTCTAATGTCCACCACAAATGTGGGATATGCCGCCCAATTTCCATCTCCTCATTACTCGTCGGCCAATGCATGTTTACCTTTTCTTAAAAATATGAAAAATTAACTTCCACACTTTAAATGATCCGATGTGCAAACTTGGATCTTTGAAACACAAGAATAATTAGTTCATAATACTCCAATTACCACTGCGTAAGAATTGCTTCATTTCATTTGGAAGGATCCATAGCTACATGCTATCGATGGATTCACACGAAAGGCAAACTGCATGGCTCGAATTCATTTTATCATTGCAATAACATTTTTACATATATTCCTATGCAGATTTACATGACTATTTTTCTAAATTAACTCAGCAAGCATCCGTTCTTGAATAACAAATAGCTTTTGTGCATCACCTTTGTTCTATAATTCGTACACACTTGAGCATCACCTTTATTCTTAAAAATAGGAATCAACACGCTACTTAACTCAGCAAACATCTTTTGTTTTCAAAATAATATTGAAAAGTTTAGTAACCTAAGAAATTCCTTCATCACCGAAGCAATTTCACACCTCTATTAGAATATCATCATGTCCAACAGCTTTTTCACACTTCATTTTTTGTAAAGCCTCCATAACTTCAATTTTTACTAATACACCGATAAAAAGAAAAATCTCTATTTTTTACTTAGGACACTAAAGTCACAAATGTCAATCATTCAATCATATTCACGCAACCTTCATTGAAAAGCTTATCAAAATATTTCATCCACCTTTATTGAATATCATCTTCTAATAAAAGTAAGTTTTGATCTTCAACCTTAATGCACTTAATTTGAATTAAATCCTTACTTCTCCTATCTCATTACTTGACAAACTTAAACATACATCTTTTGCTCTCCTTAGTACCTAATCTATTATATAAATCATTAAAAGCTAAATTTTTTTGCATCACATATTACTTTCTTAGACTCCTTACGAGCCTCTTTATATCTTTCTCAATTTTTCAGGTTTTTATCTATAAAATAATTTTTACAAGAAAGCTTCTTATTTTTAAACTTTTCTTGAACATTTTGATTTCACCACCAACTATTTTTACTATTACGAGATTTGTTTTGATACTCTAATAGTCTAATCACATCTTTTGCAATATTCTTAATATCATTAGTTACTTTTCCCACATAATATTAGCTTCCTTACGTACAATCAGAATCTTAAGATCTTAAATTTTACTTTAAATATCTCCATCTAATCCTATGATAATATTTTATTTATTTTTCATATTTCATCCATTCATATTAAATCTAAAACTAATAAGCGATGTTGGTTACATAAATTCAATAGAAATAACTTCACAATTTTTGCAATATAAACGATTTATTTTTCTTATAAGAATATAATCAATTTGAGCTTTACTACATTCATTCTTAAATGTGATGAGATGCTCCTCTCTTTCCTTAAATAAGATTTAGCAATTATAAAATCACAAACTAGCGAAAGTTCTAACATGATCTGACCACCTTTGTTAGTCGCTCCAAACTCTTAGCCACTATCAATGCTTTTAAAATCGTCTACCTCTTCACCAACATATCCATTTAAATCTCCTCCAATAAAAACTCTCTTTAAGAAATATCTTTTGTATTAATTTTTCCAAGTCATTCAAAAATTTTAAAATTAAACACAT